ATATAATTTAGTGTGTATTACTCGTGTAAGTGGATATATTCTTTATTGAGGAGAGAGACCCGCTGGCTCGGCGCGGGGTGGCGCGCCCACCCGGCATCCTCATGCAGAATTAACGACCATCTATTTGCCTCACCACCGAGTGTGATATGTTATTCATCTCATGGTTCCTCCTTCAAGTATAAGTAGTAAAGTATATGGATGCTCGTCTGATATTCCTCTTGTGTATGCTTTCCCCACTTTGCTTGTCGGCCTTAGCCACCCACTTTTCGTCTTGGGCGCTCCATGAGCTCATGACTGAAGAGGATTTTTCCTCTCTCTTTTCTCACACTCCCCGCGCGCGCGTGTGTGTGTGTGTGTTACTTATCCCTGCCTGAGATGGGTGAGAGGACGAAAGAGGATAGGATATAATGTTATCCACTTGTAAATGTGGATTCTAGAAAGTCTTAAGTTTTGATCGTTTTCTCTTTTGCCGAAGACACACACACTCACACTAAAGGCACACAAGTCCATCTACATCAGAGCCTTGCATCACGAGGTCCAAGTGAGTGAGTGAGATCAAAAGGCTTCACTTTACTTAGCACTCAACGTCACCCGGAGTCTTATTAAAAATTTCATTACTCTTGGTGAATTTTTTATCCCACCGCGAGTCATGCAATAACTTTTCCTCCTCTTAGCATTTCATCCCTTTGTCCCCAACCGCCAGCTGACCCGCAGTCCACGCCGCACCCCCAAAACACCCTGTCAAGTTCAATTCTCATCAAATAGTTGTACATTTCTTCTGCCACTCGATGTCTTTCAGGCCGCATCGTCGTCAGTCTCACGCCAAACTTTCCCATCCGCAAACACCCCCCCTTCGCCACCCCCCGTGGGCACAGTGCCAGAAAAGTTTCCCTTAATTTCTTCACACGAAACTGTGCGGTGGCGACCTGGCCAGAGACGCGGTGAAGAGGTGCTGACAGTCCTCTCCATTGACATCCCGCACCGTATAAATTTCCCGTTTGCCCCGTGGTTTTTACGTCTCTGTGCCATTGTCAAGCCGTGGCACCTGCCAAATATGCTTCCGCTTGCAAAATTCCATGACATCGCAGAGCAATTTGAGCGCGCGTGGGTGGCGCACATTTTCATCAGGCGCGCCCGATGAGAACTTTCGCATTGCCAATTGTCTCGTGATTTCCACCTCCGCCACCCAAGATTGACTTTCCTCTGACTCCGGCTGGAGATTCAATTAGGATTCTGGATGTGTGGTGGGACTTCTTGAGTGATTACCTAGAGATTTTCTCACGCAACATTGGGCAATTCACTGTGATTGTCTTCCTGGGTCACACAGGAGGGAGGAAAGTTGGCCACAGAATTTAAGAGTGGACGCCAATGTCCTAAGAATAGACTTTTGGGGGAAAACTTAATCGATATAATCTCCAAAATAGTCACTACAAAGTTTGCTCAACAATTCAACATCCGATTGAGCTGAAGATGGTCATGAAATCATTATTGATTGACAAGCCTAAAGCCATCTCATAACAGCATGACAACAAGCATCCGCTTGGCCCTCAGCATCATCTTCTCAGAAGCACACTGCCTGACAAATGGCTCAAATTCCGTCCGATTGTCGAAATGCAGACACTCCAATTGGCAAAATCCCCACCTGATGCCCAAATTTACTTAATCGGATCAATTTTTCCTGCCTCCTTCGGCCGATTTTCCGCCTCCTCTCAAGACAAGCTGTCCGGAGTCTAAGGAGGTCCGCGCGTGCTGTTTGACGGAGAAATTATGCGATTTACTGACTTATCTTGTCAAAAAATCATGCCGAAGCAAATCAGAGTCACATACAGTCAAATGGAAGCTCCCTTATCTCGAGCTTTTAATCTCTTCAAGTTATTTCGCTTTCTGTTTGTGTTTCTGTTTGTTTTCCGCTGTAAACAAATACCGAAACAGTTTGATATGGCGCCTTGTTTAAATAACCAACGCACGATCTCCAATTTTCGGGTCCGGGGGGCGGCGTAGGCCCGCCGCCGCTGCGCGCGGGGGTGGGTCGGCTCTTGGGCCGCAGCGGAGATATATTGTGAATTGTGTGCACAAGATATCTTATGAGTTGTACTGGCATTATGTCGTTAACCCAGAGAGACAGAGAGAGAAAGACATGTCGGAGGGATTCTCATAATCGTGTGCGTCCCCTATTTTTCTCCTCAGGACGACCCTTTGTCGAGGGTGGCAGGCATCATAATCGAGGTAAGGACATTCAAACTATATGCGAGGCCCTCCTGCAATCATCCCTTTTCGCCGTTTTTCCACACCCCCGCCACTGTGCCTAGTTAATATAAACTTCACAGGGTATCTTCATCTAATAATTTAATATATTCTCACATATTTATGTTATGTGGTCATTTTATTGTTGAAAGGGGAATTTGCTGCTGCTCGTATGTAAGCAAACTTCCCTCTTGCGACGCTCCCCACGACCATTTTCATTTATCTACGGTTAACCCAAGTGAGAGAGTGAGAGAGACATTCTGGGGGCAACAAAACCTGGTGAGCCTATGGAAAAATCGTGGGGGGATTCGCCCGGCCATTGTCACTTTTCACGGGATGGCCTTTTGGGATCACGGAGGAATTTTGCATGAGGTGAATGGGCTGCTAACCCTGGTCACCACTTTAAGCCAAGAGAAACGATCAAAATTCAAAATCTCCCCGCACAGATTCTGGGCTTTGGCCAAACTTTCACAGCGGAATTCCTGGGCTGAACTTCCCAAGTCCACAAATGATTGCACACACTAAATTGTGCCCACATTTTTCCCCTCTTTTTTCCAACCCTTATTTAATTAAATGATTGAAACACTCACCATTCTGTTTCTGTGCACAAACGCATTGAACTTATTAATCGTATTTGCCGATAGGGTTCAATTGTTCCACAGCAATCGGATCGCTGTAAAATCATATCAAGTTACACAAGAGAAATATTTTTTCCGCATAAATTAATTGGTCTGGCCATAAAAAGCGACAAATGCTATGCATTATGCGAAGAATTATGCAATTTACATGGATATTGGATTATGGTTTTATTATTTGTGGGAAGGTTAAAAAAAAAATAAACCCAATACCGACAATTTCAGCTTATCACCGCCAATAGAAAAAGTATTTATTATAACTAAAAAATCTACAGCCAAGTGGACATTGCGCGCAAAACCAATTTTCATGCATTGACGACTTCAAATTTGTGGTTTTATTTGGTGGGTGATAAAATTTTGTGAGAGAATTCTCTGTTATCTGTAAATAGAGAACATTGCATATTATAATAAAATTGCATATGTAATCAAAAAAGGTAATTTTATTAAACACACAAAAAAAATTATGTATACAAAAAAATCAGTACAAATTGCTTTCAATTATAATGTCCCGGAGAGAAAATTTAATTAAAATATCATTTGAGATAAACTATTAAAAGTTTTTTTTTGTGTGGTTTTCGACTTTTTAGCTAATTTATTTTCACTTTATTTTTCAATTTTCCTCTTTCGCTCACGGAATTGTTTAAATATTTGGTAGAAAAGTGGCCGCAAGTCTTGCATTGCAAATTCAAACTCAGAGGTTAATAAAAGGTCTTCACTGAAGTGCTTTATTTCAGATCCATCAAGCTAAGTAGTCCAGAAAATCCATTCAACAATGAACACTGATGAGCTTTACACAAAACCGAGATAACTAAGGTGTTCTGATAGTAAATTTATATCAGGCGCCCGTAGAAGAAAAGCTTTCATTCGTTCATTGAATGATTTAATAGTTTAATGAATTTTAGTTTTGCGTTGTATTTTAATGTGCACTATTGATTTTAATCATACTTTCTAGAGAGTAAAAGGCTGTAATACACACTACTACCCATTTTTCTTTAAATTTTCAAATTAATCTCTTATAAAAAAGCTGTGAAGACGATTTCAGCCGCGGTTGAGTGGAAGAAATGCAATAAGACACTGAACGGAGGCTAAAGACACACAAAAATGATCCTAAATGTCATCTAGATATTCAGAACTAAAGATTCGATGTAATTATCCGAGTCAATATTAGATTTAGAGGGAAATATGCAGCGTTCTGACTTAATTTTCGCTGTCCTTTTACGCACATTTCTCTGCATTTTGCGATATTTCAACCCCTAATTGAAATATCGCCGTAATCTCAACGCCATAGCGAATGGTAAGAAAATATCAAATTTGTAGCACTATCCAAAGTATCCAAAACGCACATGAAAAATCTTGATGATAGGAAATGCGTAATTTGAGTCTCTTCATTTAAATTTCAAAACCTTTAATGCATTGAAATGTGGAAAATGAGGCTTCTAAAACGGTCCCTGCCTCGGGTCTAAAAATATTCTCGTACCTATTTTCATTGTTGTATTCTTTCCAAAGCCGAATCCCAAGGAATTTTCGCAGGAAAAAAAATCTCCCTGAAAGCTCAATTAAAGGCCTGCAAACGACGGGCCGGAGCTTCCGGTGGATAAAAAGGGTGTGCGAGCGAAGTGAGGCTGAAATGGGTGTAATTTTACGGTCTCACGGATGATGCGGGAATGCTTTTGGAAAATAGTTGCAGACCCGTGGGAAGTGTCAGGGAAAATCTCGTGGATTTCAGGGGGTGAATTTCGCCGATACGGCGACTGGACGAAGAGCGAGTGTGAAGCTGAGGAAATCCACTTCACCAGCTGATCACTCGCTCCTGCGCCGTGTGGCTGCCTCTCCGCCACGGATTCATCTCTGGCGGAGCTTTGGGATGCTGGATGCCCGCTTCAGTCGCATCGTGACCGTCAGCCGAGCACGCGGGTCGCTTCTCACGCAGTCCAGTGGCGCGCGCTGTGAGGAATCCAACACACACACCCCCTCAGAAGGGACTTTCCCACACGATTCAGTGCTTCGTGGCTCCACCACGCCCTTGCTCCCCCCGGAAAATTTCTCCATCGTTGGGGGCGCCCCTGTGCGGCATCCGCCGGACCCGACGATTTAAACAGCAACTCTCGGCCAGTGTGAATTATGGACTTTGCGATACTATTGACCATTTCGTGTATGTAGCGTGTCAAAATTGAGGATATCAGTGTGATTTATACTTGGCAATTGTGTGGCTGCAGACCACAGCAACGACTTTTTCACACCCCGGGATCACCCGTTGGATTACCCATTGAGGACGATTGAGGAGTGCGGTCGAGTCGGACGTGAATCCCCGATGAGAGGGCGTCAGTTGGGGTGAATTTAAATGCTCTCTCCTTGGCGATAAATCAATTGAAATCGGTGAATCTATCAATAATGTGGCGGACAACGAACCTCAATCGGATATCGTTTATCTTCTCGCTGACACTGATCTCCCTGCTCGGTAATTTTCTTGAGGGGTTTTCTTGAACTATGTTGTGTCCTCAAGTGTGTGTCTGTGTGTGTGTGCTTTTTTGCCTATGCTTTGCATGCCGTGTGTGCTTTTTCCACCCTTCCATGTACACATTTTCCCGCTGAAGGGACAAGACATTATCGTCACTCTCTGCCGCTCTATATCAAATCCACCGTGAGACGCGCTGCAAAACATTCAACCAGAATAATCATCATATTTTATCTGTGAATTAAATTTAATGCAAATATAGTCATAAATATTCATGATTGCTTCAAATAAAATCAGTTTAGACACATCTCCTACGACACATCTATATTCCTTCACGAATACACTTCATCCCTCGCGTTGTTGCTCAAACTGCCACCCTCAACCGTTGGCACACAAGTTTGCAAGAAGAGACTTCCTCGCATAAGGTAGAGTCTATTTCACGGATTGTTGTACGGAAAGACATTACTTTGGATGTGATGTAATACAATTTTCAGATGTTTGCCAAAGCAGGTGCGACGCAAGAGTGCAAATATGAAATGATATGATTTGAATTGACCGGTTTTGCTGCATATGATGTTGAAATCAAATGAAAATACATTAAAATCCCATAAATGAGCAATTAAAAGTATGATTTTGGAATAATTCTTTTGAAGTGAAATTCCATTTGAACTCTAATTGTTTTGCAGAGTTTCACATTCAACAATTGATTGGACAGAATAGTAGAATTGTTATCGTGCTGAAAATCAAATTTCTCCGTGTTATTTAAAAAAAAAAAACATCCGCGAAACTTTCAACTTTTCGCGAAAATCAATTGCGATGAAAAGCAAGTGATTCGATTTGTCGAATTTTGAAGCTTTCTATGCAAATTTTCCGCCTATGAAGACGAACCGTCACTGTTGTAGTCCTATTTTTTCCTTCTCTCTCTCCCCTTGCGTAAAACAACTCACCCCAAAACCACCCACTCAAACCTCTAAGTGCGGTGTATAAAGCGTGAAAAAGATATGAGAGGCGAAATTTTTCGGTGCGGCAGCTCGCAAAACTTTTACGCCCAGCCAGTTAAAAATTTTCCTCTTTTGCCGGCCAGAAAACTTTTCATGAGAGCAATTTTATAACTTGAATAAATTATCACACAATAATTCTTCGAGATTGGAAACGCGCGCTTCTTACATTATGCAGTGCCATGAATTGAGAAATGTTGCTCTTCTATGAGAACTTGTGCGAGGGGGTTCCGCGCTGCCACCCCTCTGCTCTTTGTTGGGGGGTGAAGACAAGCAAGCAAAAAAAAGAACAGTGCGGAAGCGGGCGAGCATTGTGAAACACTCACGAGATTCTATTTTAAATATTACATGTGGGCAAAATGAAAATTTAAGAAGCATTAAATGTTCATGTGAAGCTCTTCCAACCCCCCTTTTTGTGGGCCACAAACAGCACCCGCGGCATCATCTTTGGCGATGCTGTGCGTTTGTGAAAAATAGATTATTTTCCGCATCTTGGCATGGCGGGAGCCACGAGCAAATTCCACAATATATAGGAATGTCTTGTAAATCATGGTATGTTTCTCCACTTTTTCTCCCACCCACCCACCCCCCGAGGCAATCTCCCCCTCGCACTCGTCACAAAAGGAGAATGAAATGACAAACACAAATCAGAATAAATGTTGCGACATTCCAGCTCCAAATGAGCGACAAAAAGAAAGTCGAGGGGATGCGTAGAGGGGGCGGTCTGGGGCGGACAGCTCTCCAAAGCCCCCCCAACGGAAATGGCAACAAGATGATGGTATATGCCAGCGACCCGAGATTGTGATCTTTAATTCAAATTAACCGGACGGGAAAATTCCCAATTTCAACCATCAATTTCCTCTGATTTGCGGTTAACATTAATTATATTCATATAAGTCGGCAAGCGGGGTGGGATTTACGCCACCCACCGAACATATGCTCGCAATTGTGGAGCTTTTCCGTTCCATTGTGAGCTCCTCAAGTATCTCCCCACATCTACACTACATTTGCATATGTAATTGAGACCCTGCCCACCCTTATCGCATTACACTGCGAGATGAAATGTCAGTGGATGAGAAATGTTTCACGATATGAAATATTGCGGACTGTCTCGGCAGTGTAATTGCACATGATTTACAGGGAAGAATCCACACCCTTCTTATATCGCCCAAAAATACCCTCACGACATTTTGACCAGCAGCAAATTCTCCCTCGAGACAACATAAATATCGCTTAAGACAGTAGAAGTTACACTGGGAGAAATACATAGTAAAATGATTGTTTCTTCGTGCAATTCTAGAGAAACCCAAAGAATCGGGATGATTAGTCAGTAAAAGAAGCACGCAGAAAAGGAAGATTGTGAGTTTTTGAACAATTCCACATCTTAAGTACTTCTTTCTCGAATAAATACAAAAAAAAATCGAGTAATAATTACCAGAAATATGATAGAAAAGCTTTCGAAGCTTTGATAATTACCACAAAATTGTCAAAATTATAGATAGACAGAGCTTCACTAAATTTGGGATGTCGATGTTTGTCAGTTTTGGAATGATTTTAGCCAAATGACAATGTGGAAAACTAATCATCTTCGTGATTGATTCAAAATTCCCCAACATCTCTCAATTCACTTAACACTTCTGTGGGTAAATAAATGAATTTATCATATTATATGCCCGACGTTTTGATGACGCAATGCAACTGCGCGGGAAATAATTTTGCCATAATATCACTCAAACAATACATTGCGAGATGTGATGCTTAATGCATCAGTGCGATTGGCAAAAGCAATCACATACATTTCACTGGGTCAAATCATTCGATTTCGTCGCGTGCTGGCGAGTAAATAGTCTCCTTGACATTTATGTGTAATATATGATATTTGTAAATGGACAAACGGAGACAATTTGTGACATAAACAAGGGTAATTTCATTCCATCAACTATTATTTTTCTTTTAAAGAGGAAATAATGTTTGTGCTTTCACTTGGAGTTTTATGAGAAAGAACAACTTTCACATTCACTGGCTTCTCCCCCTTTTCCTCCCGTTGTCGTGTGTGTGTGTGTGTGCTCATGTGTGCTATATATCTAAAAAGCTGTCGGATAAATGGGAAGGAAAACAAAAACCCGGTACAGTGGGTGGGCATTCAGGGGGTGGTGGCAAACTTTGATAATAACCACACACGACGACGTCACGGAAAGCTTTTTCCCCCTTTTCCCGCAGAGTCCTTGGCTGGCTCTCGCCGGATCGGCAAAGTGCACACAAGTGACTTTAAAATTGAGATCGAATGGAATTTTATTTCATGTTTCACTCCAGTGGCGCTTTTCTTGCAATCCAACCATCCTTCTTGTCTCTCCTGATCACATTGCGGGATCTATGTTGTGTTCAGCTTGTCTGCCGAACCATTTGGCTCAGGATAAAAACTATCAAACACATTAGTCTCTTGACCAAATGTACACAGCTACTCTGTAGAGAAAGGGAGAGAAAGAGAGAGAGAGACAGGAATCCTGGAGGGAAAAAGGTTCATGCTTTGCGTTCCTTTTTCCCTGCTGAATTGCTGGGAAACTTCATATTTGCACACATCATGGATCACTCCAAATAGCTTTTGAAGCATTGTGGAATATTGAGAAAAAAAAAGTCTCTGCATCTTTGACACTCTCTTGGGGGGGGGGGGAATCATTCAATTTCGTGAGCTTTCACTCTTCCTGAATAAGAAATTACTTAAGTGCTGCTTGCAAATCCGATACTAATTACGTGATGCCTCAATACCCACTCCTGAATCATCATCCTTGAAGCTTATTTTGCAATCAAAGAGGCCAAGAGTCGCAGGATTAGCAAACATCACCCTTACATAGTTTATGAGACACCCCGTCTTAGACATTCTGTACTTCCCTTGAGTGGAGGAACTGACTCAGAGTTGAGTCACTATATTTTGTAAATATTAGAGAAGCCAGAGTGCGAGATAATGTGGGGTTGTTGCAGTCAAAGAGAATAATAAAAAGCATATTTTCCCCATATATGTGGGCTGACGAATGCCTGAGGAATTGGGAAGGAGATTATAGTGGGAATTTCTCGTGAAAATATTTGTGTAGAATTTTCCTTCACTCATCGGAGGGGACGAGAAGATCCAATATTTTTCCACCATAATATGCTCTCAAATAAAAGTGATTCCACCAAATGGATGGGATAAAATGCTTCTGTGGCGCGAGGAAACATTAAATTTTGCTATTTCGATGAAACCACCTGGCGCCTCCACTGCAGCTTCATTTGACAAATTTCTTGAGTGAAAAGTCACTAATGCCACGGGAAATTTTCTCAGTCAACCAACAGTGCTGCTCTTTTGTTCCCAACTTTAACTCGAAGCCGATGAGGAAATGCCCATTTTATGGATTACACAAAGTTTCTTTCGCTGAAATTGCCAATAAAATCACCTCATATTGGATTTCACGAGCTTTTTATCCCCGTTTTCTCTGTCAATCCCACAAATTATACAAAAACTTCTCTTTCTCTCTCTCTTTTCGACTGTACACAAACCAATTTTTTTACCAGGGACGGTAAAAAGAGCGAACATTTCCCTCAATAGTTCGAATCGGAGAAGGATGCAAAGAAGGACGAGCGGCGCACATGAGAAGTTTCACGATGTGGTGATGAAAGAAATATTCCGGGGGAAAGTTTTCAAATTTATGAGATTTGAGAGATTTATTTATGATGAACAGTGAATTCGCTTAAGGGAGACATGATTGCGATTAAGGATGATTCATTGGCCTCGGCGTTTTTGTGATTCTGCAGTTAAGCACTCTTCTGTGTCCCATAAAGTGAGCTGCTGAAGATGCTCCATTGATGATATTGTGCAAGAGATCCCTTTTTCGCCTCCTGCCGTGCAGAAACTTTCTGCGTGAATCGCTGAATGCATGGCGGATTTTTTGGCACACTTAAAGTTCCTCAAAAAAAAAAGTGTTTTGTAGAGAGAATTTTATCGTTTTAAGTCGATTTCCTTGGCGTTTCTCCGAAGCATTCCGATGGAATAAAATTTATTCAATTTTGCTGTTTGATTTTTTATTTCTTCACTGTGAAAACACTGAAAGTAGAAACTTTCCACCAATCTTTCTATACATATTTATTCAAGACATTCATGATGTTTAAGTTCATATATTGTTCCATTGCATTTTTATAATATAAATGAATAATTTTTTAAGCCTTGTTAAATGAGTTTAACTTGTCTAAATTACCCAAAGTTGTATGGCAACCTAAAAAGTTTTGACAGTGTTTAAGTCAAGACCACGAATGTAGTCTCATCTCGTCATATTTCCACGGGAAACATTTTAGAGAACAAAGATAAACTTGACATATTCTTAGAGCGTGTTTCAGCTTTCAAGTTGATGAATAAAATATTGGGTGGGAGAGAAATTTACCACATCTAATTTATATTTCACTAAAGTAAGATCTTTATGCGGCATGTCTTGTAGTGATTTCTTTAAAAATTCCCAAGAAACGTTCCATTGCTCAATAAGCTCCACCATTTGCTGTGGAGTCACAAAGCGTCATCAATCAAAAGTCATACACTCCGCGCGAATCGCTTCAAGGGGTCAACTTCTGTCAAAAGCTTTTCCTTTTCCACTCCAACACTTGGGCGAGCCGAACAGTGGCCAGAATTCTTGCAATTTCGTATTTCGATGGGGCCTTTTGGTCTTGCGAGAGAAGAAAGAGACATTGTTGTCCGAGGAAATCCGGTGAGGCAATTTATTTCCCGGAACAAATAATACAGAGTTTCCTCATCACTCCCCCATTGGCCCTTCGAAATAGGGTGGGGGTGGAGAGAGAAAAATATGTGTACTCCGTCAATTTAGTACCCTCTCATGGGCTGAAAGACAAGGGGAAATGAAAAAGTTGAAATGTGTCTATCACACATAATAATATTATTGTTATATTATTCTTTTTCTCGCCCTCCTAATCGAGTCACACAGCAAACGAAACTGCCCCACAACGTCCCTTTGAAGCTCTGTCCGAGCGTGAAAAGTTTTCCATTCCCGGACTCTCATGACAGGGATACGAAGAGAGGCGGAAAAAAAAACTCTTCTGCTCACGTAGGAGAAATCCTTCAAGAAAACTTCAAGACATTACACACATAATCGGAGGGTTGGGCCCAACATCGAGGGTGGGAAGAGTGTGGCGAGATTCGTATACTAAACATATAGAGCATTGTTAAAGTTTGTTGCCAATTTCCATTTTTTTTCCGGCACTATTTTTTGCCAATTCACTGCAATACCAGGCGTCTCCACTGTGTAAGCTCCCCCCAGAAAGACTCTCCGGCGGAACATAATTACGTGTTTTTGGCCCGACAAGAGCTGAGCGCGCGAGGGCAAAAACCACCCGCCAGACTCTCGTTGCGCTCTTTCACCACAGTTCTTTTCCGAGGGTTAACTATTAGCCCAACATCATCCAATATTCGCTTATCTGGGGGCGAATTTATTCACTTCTCGAGGGTTTGTGAAGCGATAAAGAAACAACCGAAGTACACATAATACCTGTAATTCTTACCTTTCAACTACCCCCCGAGTTTTTTAAGGGATTTCATCCCCGGCTAAGTAGAAAAGCTGCCCTTCATTCGCAATAAACTACCCCTAATGCCGCAGCTCAAACTATATATGAATAAAAGAGCTTTACAAGATTATGATGTGATTGTTTGAGAAATACCACTCAAAAAGCTTTTTGCTTGCGAGGATGAGCTTCTAGAGATTCCATGTGAATGGCAAGAAAGCTCTCGCTATTTGCCCACTGTAGAGTTGTGCTGATAGTCTTAAATTTCTATCAACAAAATGAATTTAACTCAAATTAACGATCTCTCTCGCTTTCTTATTCATGAGCATCTTTTTTTCTCTCTCTCTATTTATATTACGTGTCTCTCCAGCATTTTTCAGTTGCTCAACAAGCACATAGGGATGAAAAAAAAAATCCCAATTTCTCTTGCGTACCAGCAGAACACTGGCCCATGAACATGAAAGTTTGTGCTCCACACTCATTTTTGATATGCTCTCCCTCTCCCTCTCCATACTTTAATCTCCCCCATGGGTGCCCGCGCCCGCCCTGCACGAAAAAAAGGCGAAGGGAATTTTCTTGAATGTTTATTTGAGACACTTTATTTTTTGTGTGTGTGCGGCACTGTGTATTCTCTCAAGGAGACACACGAGTAAAATATATGCTGCTCAATTTTCTGGAATGACTGTGTTTTCTATCTTGTGCTCTTGTGGCTCGAAGGGCGGCCGTGTGGGTGGGGAAAAGTGTATGCTCTGGGATAAAATGCTTGTGGAATGCCAAGGTGGCTGATGGTGGCTTTAAAAACATCACCCAATCTTTTGTATGATCGTCGTATGTGGAAATACCTCCACTTTCCACTCAACCACCCCCCACCCCATCGGCGATGAGGGACGAGGGAGCGTGGCGTGGATTCATGCATTGTGTCTTGGACGTGGAGGGAAAACCTTTTATGTCTGCTTAAGTCGTTTGAGTAAATGTGTAAGAGTCCTCGTAACTCCATTACAGGGACTCTTATTGGGCGAAGGAACTGCTTCGCACTTTCTCTCCGCATCCCTTGGCATCTGTGGGGAGGGTGGAAAAGGAAAGGAGAGGAAAAAAAAGCGCCGCACTATGTGCGTTTAATAGTAAAATGTGTACGTAGGAGAGTGAAAGAGGGAAAATTGAGTAAATATAAGGAGAGAGATGCTTTTATATATGAAGTATGGTCGATGGCACAATGCCTTCCACTTTATTGTGGATCCTGCCACATGGGGCATTTAACTCTGGCCTCGGAATATAACCAAAGCAATTCCCACAGAATCTCATTATTTCCCCTTGGCTCTCGTCCACCCTCGTTCGCACACTAAACATCCACCAAATCACTCCTCGTCGCTTCGACATTTCACCCCCGCATATACACTGCGGAAGATGTGCAAATAGTAAACAATCTCGACAAATTATTCGCCATTTAAAATCATTCCGGCAAACACACACTTTCAATATTGATTGCGAATACATTTCTGAGAAAATCTCCTTGTCCTTTGATGGTATTTTCAACTTACGTGAGTTTTCAAAAGCACTCTGAGTGGAAAGCCACACTTTTCCACAAGCATCGAGTCACATATGTTGGGTAATTTGAAATTAAATACATGTTGTCGAGCTGCGAGAAGTATAATTAAGTCAAACCATGCCACAGATGGCATATAAACTGTCAATGTGTGGTTGTATATCTTGTTGTCAGATTGAATTCTGTGCGGAAATCAGAGACTTTCATTCACCGCATCAACCACATATTTTCACTGGAACATCCACCAAAGGGGAAGATAGTTTGTCTTAAATCTGTACATCACTTCGTAACAATTTCAACACAATCTTCCTTCTTGTTCACGTTTCTATGTCACGATAAGAGGATATGAAGGGCCTCGAATGCTTCCAGTTTATTGCTGTGAAAGCTTTTCAGATCACAAAATCATCTCTTACGCTTTGTAAATGAACTCATAACTGCAGATTTAGAGTTTAAGTTGACCATTTTTCCTACTTGAGCATCAAAATTTATGTGCTAAACATAAACATAACCTAGAAACGAATCATTGCGATCATTTCCACTTGAAAATCAAAGGGAATCCAAAGAATCAGGATAATTTTTCAGCGAAAGAAGCTCTCAGGAAAGAAATATTGTAAGGTTTTGAGTACTTCCGCTGTGCTGTACACCATCTAGTGCCTATAATATCTCCCCCTTGACATTTACAAAGGATTAAGCAGCACGTAATTGTGACCCGGGAAAATCATTACCGACGAAATATTCTGTTTATTGTGCCAATTCTTGAATGTGGTTCCAATTTATAGGCATTAATGAGGAATTGTGTAGAATTTCTCCTGCATTAATATAATTAAAATCAGTTGATGTTAGAGTGGAAAAGGCATTTGGATGCTCTGGTTGTACGCTATCAATCATAATTTACATGAAACCATTTCCTGAATATGATAAATCTTCTGCATCAGCATGATTAAAGCTCCTGTGGTAACATGAGAGTGTTTGTCTGTAACGTGAGAAGGTGTAACGTAACACTTTGACTAACTAAATATTTTATTCAAGCAACATTACCTGCAATTTGTGCCAGGGTGTGTGTGTGTGTGTGCTGGATTGCATGCGAGATCGCACGTGGGAGATTGTGTGTGGGAGGAGGGAGTGACTGAAACAATGAAGAGCACGAGCGGTCTTTGGGAAAGAAATCTCCCCAGAGGCGAAAAGCTACAAAGTGGCGGGAAATATGAGTAAATATAGGATTTCAGTCATTTCCTCTTCGCATATCCATTCGGCGTGACACCCCAGCCTTTTTTTTATCTCCCTCTCGACCCAGCATATCTTTGCCCTCACCTTGCATCGCCTTTGTGCACCTGAGCTGACTTGTATTTGATTATTCCGACAGGATGCCGTCAAATTGAGGCACTTCAAATGACAGACATTTCCGTGCCGAGGGTGGCCGATGTGAGAGACACGGTAACACTTTCATGCACGTACAACATGGGAACACACAAGCTCAACTCTGTCAAGTGGTACAAGGATGGGAGTGAATTCTTTCGGTGAGTCTCCTAAATACACACTTTTCCATCTGCGCACTGCGATGGGGAATTAAACTATAGAAAATTGAGTATTATTGCACTCCACGGTCTCGTGAACATGCAAACACACTCTATGGCGCACTCGAGTGGGCTTTTTGCCATTCACCCCATCAGAGTTGGCAAATGCACGTCAATCGAGATGATAGATACGCGCCGAACTCATCTGAACATCTCATGCTACCTCGCCAGAAGGCGCTATTGAGCCTGTTTGAAATCCAATTGCAGTTTTTATTATGCGTATAAATATAATTCATTCACTATTTTTCACTGGCAAGTTGAGACCATTAACTTTGTGATTATTCAATCATTTTTATTAATTTTATTCGTGATTTTTATTCAAATACTGATTATTTTTTGAGTTTTTCGTGAATATTTGATCTAAAATTGATTATTTCATACAAATTCCGATTATTTTTTGATTATTTTCTGAATATTTGATGAAAAATCGATTATTTCATACAAATTTTGATTATTTTCTGAATATTTAATCCAAATTTGATTATTTTGCAATTTTACTTTGGAAAAAATCGTTTTTGAATTTTTTATTCAAAATTTGATTATTTTGCAATTTTACTTAGGAAAATAATAATTTTTTGAATATTTTACTCATAAAATTGATTATTTGATTAGAGAACATTATAAGTTTCCTCAAAAATCGCATTGTGACTCTTACGTCTTGATTTTCCACAGAATTTTAATAATTTTAGCTCTTGAATATTTCAATGGTCGAGAATTTTCGTTTTTGCCACCGTAAATCGACTGCAGCGCCGTATTTCGTGTTCTTCTAATTCATTTTCTCAAGTTGTTTGAACAAGTTCCTTAAGTTTCAAGGAAAGGTCGATCGGTCTCGTCAACTATTTCCATAATAATTAAAATGCAACAAACTAGATAAACCCTGAGGATTTTGTCGTTGCAACCTAATTTGGGATACAAAGGAATGCTTTTCTAGCCAAACGAACATGCAAAGTTTGAAAGCTGATGGAATGTAAGTTAAGAAAACTGAAAGTTCAATTTAGAATATATCACAGTACATTTGCATCAGCACTTCAAAATGGAAATGAAATCCTCTTTGCATAGTGGAATACTGTGACGAGTGAATTGAATCAAGAAATATTCCTATACTTGCATCCGTTTCACTCCACAATCCTCAAGCCAAGTGCTCTCGAGTTGGTACAATTTATTTCATTATCATCGACAACTATCTTCCAATTTGGAGAACTAAATGCAATTGATCAGTAAAGAGTTGGTGGTAATTTAAATTTTCCACACAAGCACAGATTGTGAGAGAGCAAATCAATGACAAACTTTCTTCAAGCGGTTAATAAGCAATTATTAGTTTTCTTCTTTTGCTATGCAGAAATAGAAAATTTAGTTCCAGCAAGCAAATTATCTTGCATTAATGTTCACACTCAAGACAGTCTCACATGAGACTCAGGAAATCCGGGACTTTTTCGATGAAACTTGGTAGACAAACAATTCAATTGCAGTTGCCAAATTTAATGAAAAGAATATCCTCAGCAAACACAGATAAATTGCTGGCCATAAAAAGAAGTTTTATCTCTCTCTTTTTGCCCCAATGAAATTTCTCGCAATTATCTCTGTGCCAAATTGCACATTATCGTTTTCCAACTCTGGACGTGTTTTGTGTGTTAAATCGAGCAAATGCCCAAGAGCGGGAGAAAAACGTGGAAATGCAAACATTCTATTGACTTTTTTTTCTCCAAATGTGCCCTGCAGATATGCACCAATGATGATCCCGCCAATTATGACGTTTCCCGTGGTCGGCGTGACACTGCCCAAAGATCAGACGATTCTCTGCACCAAGAGCACCTGCAGTGTGATCCTGGATCAGCTGGAGCCGCGCACCAGCGGCTCCTATCGCTGTGAAATCTCAGGCGATGCGCCGGAATTCAAATTGATCAGCCAAACTGGCAATATGACCATTGCAGGTGAGCTTTTGCACGGCATCAATGTGAATTTCGCATGATTGAGCACTTGAATCGCACACTGTTTGCCACATACATATATATTCTTGATGGTGCACTTAAAATTCAGCTCTCATGATGAGGGAAATCGTACAAAATCATTGCAGTCAAATTATACTATATGGAAAGATGTCCAAAGGCACTCGTTAGGCTCCTTTTCCGACCTATTCACCACTCAATCTATAATGCTGAATGGAGTGAGGCTCCCGCTTCACCTTCATTTCCATCTCCAGTGTGAGCTTTTCCCATAGTATTCGAGGGTTCGTTCACCCATTGCGATATTTTCCTCCGAATGTGTGCAGTTGGACCAATTTTGCATGAATCCCGTATGTAATTTGTGCCACATTGTGATGCATTTCCCTTCGTCTGCATAAGGAAAATTCCCTCACATGATGGAGCTCTTTCTACCATCACGGTGTGATGTGAGAGAGGAAAAATGTTTACAAAACATTCCGCAAAGCAGGAGAGCTTCACCCTAACGAACTTCTCTCTGTCGACAGAGCGAGAGAGAGAGAGAGAATTCAAATGCACAAGAAAACACATTTCCTTCGAGCGAATGCTTAAGACAATATATCACAACTTGTCGTAAGTTTTTTCTCCACCACTTTCATCCCAATCTTGTCATCTTTTTTCCACCACCATCGCCACCACCCTCATTGCTGTCCAGGGGTCGGACATGGAAAAAACAAGTTTGGTGGAAAAACAGCCGGAGAAACATTAAATTCAATGTGATGAAAAATTTTATAAATGACTCTCAACGCGCCATGCGAAATCGTGATTAATGAGATACACAAGGTTTAATTTTAATCGCGAATTATTTTTTATCTCCGACGGCTCGTTTGGCGCGCGAGAAAAATCGCGCGCGCGGGCGGAAAGCGCACCACCTTATGGATGTTTTGTGTATTTAAAATTAATTAAAAGCGGAAAATTAATGAGAAAAATGCTCAGTGGAGGATTTTATGAAACGCCGCCACCCCCCGAAAGTCCACGATGTTTGCCAGAAGCCATCGCCGGAAGGATGCCAAGGGATGACATTTTGAGCGAGAGGACAGTACACTGCGTGTCAATGCTAATTGACACTTTGATGTATTGCTTTTGCATTGGAACACAGTGTGTCTTTTCGCTCAAGTATTATACGAACTTCAATCCATTCAATAAACTTTTGCGACAGTCTCGCAAATAGCCCCAGATATTGAGAGTACTTTGCAATGGTAAACATATGCTCTGTTGTCTCTCGCTTCACCCAAAATCCCAAACGCATTTAGTGTGGTCTTGATGATATTCATCTCTAAATCCTTTGGCACGTTTTTCCTTCTTTCTGAAGCACAGTCGCCGCAGCACAAATGCGCCCGCCTTGGCGCGGTGTGTTGGGATAGCGAGAAAGGTGACTTCAGGGGGTGAGATATAATAAATTGCTGGCGTAGATCTATCTAATGGATTGGGCAAAAGGAGCGGCGTGTAAGAGAGAATTGTGCTAATTTTATTCTGATGGCCAATAGCCGATATCTGACTTGCCTTCATTTGTTCACGCCCGAAGATTAGCAGTTAACTCGACTGTGTCTGTCATGCACTTGAGCATGCTTTATGGCTCCGGGGGCCATGCCTAATTTATTAGAGCATGATTAATGTAATATCATTTGTTCGTATTGAAAAGTTTTCCTTCCCAGCCAGAACACCAATTATGCAACTACGTGGCTCACGAGGAATTTCCCTTCTCGCCCCGCGCACGAGATTTTTCACTGCAAATTAAAGTCAATTGCGACGATTCTCATCGTGCCGCGCCGTGAGATTGATGCCATCAGAGTAGAGACAAAGTATATGCCTGCGATAAATTTTCCCACTTGATCGCGGGAAATTGCCAAGGGGGAGATAATTAGATTGTAATCTGTACATTTATCGAACCATTTTGCACTCTAAGCTGAGTTTTCTTGCTTTAAAACGACGCAATTCTTAATGAGCGTCGTGAAATGGCCTTTTTGGGCATCTTTTTGACCATAACCTCAAAAATAAATTTGATACAATTAAATAATGTTGAAAATAAGCTCATTTATAACGTTTTAAGAGCAAAACTGAACGAATTCAATCGATTTCAACTTGGTAATGAATTAAAATTGACAAATTTCAAGGTTATATTGAAATAAAACATTTAAATTGATAAAAACGCAGTAATTGGGTGAAGAAAACAGCTTTCCAAAGAGGAATTTTCTTGGGAATTCTGTAATATTTCACACTTCCATGGACATTTTGCACTGAATTGTATTTTTGTGACGCACAATATCTCCTTCTTGGAAATTTGAAAACTCAAATTAACTCCCACTCACGCTCCATCAATTCCACGGTCTTCGTCAAATTTTCCCACTCGGCGTGCGCGCGGCCAATTTATCGGCAAAACTTTCATCGATATGCGGAGAAATAAAGTGGATGTAATTAGAAATTCGTTGCGGTACATAAAATTTGACTTTGTACAAAATCCACACAGAGTTCATGTTTTGGGGCGATAAATTGTGGGCGGAAATTGACCAAAAATGCGACAATATGGTCAAAATGGCAGGCAATTGAGGCCCACAAAACACTGATAGCTAATGATTCTATTTTATCACGCCCGGACACGGCATAAATGTCACTGTGTGGGTAATTAACACCTCTGGCACGCGTAATGACCAAAGGATAGGCGATAAATCACGGATTTTTCTCACCTCAATTTCATTCTGCATCACACTCAAATCCCCAAGCCAAATCCTTGCCCAGCCACTTTTCCCAGCCAATATCCCGAGCGAGTGGATCTTAGGGGGTTGCTCGATACACAATTTATGGGCCATTTGGGAGTTTCTCTGCGGCTATATTGGCTCCATTCAACTTCATTTTGGGGAAGAAGAATCGATACATTAAAGGAGTAACGCGCGATGTAATTGAAAAGCTGAGATAAAACTTTTAGCGTATATATATATAGTGAAGGGATTTGATTAGGCGCAGGAGAAGAATTAGGAGCATTTCACAACACACACCTAATCTCATTTTCAACTTGACACATCGCAGTGAATTTTTACATCAATTTATGGGGCTAAAAAGCCCTTAAAGCGTCTCCATCTTTTTGGTATCTGTGTTAAACAAGGGAATCTTTCTAATATAAAATCTTAATTAACAGATAAATCTCTTTGTCTAATATCTTTTCTCTCTATGTACAAATAAAAGCATCTTCATCTCTGATAAAATAGCATAAACTTCCCATCCTTGTGTCTGCTTTCGTCCTGTGTTCTTCCTATATTTGCAATTTTCATAATTCCCTCAGCGATGTACGAAGTTATTGTCTCACCTAATTAAGGATCCACGTTTTCTCCTGAATTGCATAACGCGCGGGTACTCAAGTGCCCTCAATGAGTAGCCCCTGAGGGCGCTCCTTTGTCTCTATAAATAAAAGTTGCACGTCCACAGCACGGGAGCTCGTGGTAATCTCTGTCCGTGCTGGCAAAGTATGAAAACTTGTGAGTGAATATATTCAAAAGCTCAAGATGTATTACGCTCGGCGAGAGCTTTCAGCTTGTCTGCGGTGTGCGCCGGAATGCTGATTGGGCGTCCCCGCGCGCGTGGAGCCGTCGAAGGGCGGGGGTGTTATGTGAGTATCTGTTTCTGTCCGAAATTTGTTCGGGGTGCGGTTTCGGGGGTTGGGGCGCAACAAAGAACGGTGTTGACACAAATTTATACGATTCAATATGGAAGGGTTTGGGGCGAAGGATATTTATTGGTTTTCGATTACCCCCAGCATAGATTTGTGCATGTGCTGATATATGGCGCTCGCTCATCCCTTATTTGCTGCCCACAAGGCGCTCTCGGACGGAATCTCGCCCTGTCGCAGACACAAATTACAACCTCTATGCACTCCTGTCTAATGCGGTGTTTCATTGACTGTTTTTATCACGCCGCCACCTCATCTGGTCCACTTGTGGACAATGCCTCGGCTGTGATTATGAGGATGGCCAGATGGGCAAAAACCCACCCTGGAAGACCGTGACAGAATTAATTGAGGGCGATTGTGAGCTGTGAGCGAATCATGTGAATCTGCCCGATTTTTTCCACTCACCCACGCAAGGATTAAATCCAACAGTTGCTCTGCAGCTCAAGGGGAAGATAATTGGAGATAATATAGAATTTTTAACCTAGTAGCTGTGATTTTGAGCTAGATAGTCTCTGATTGACATTCTTCAACAACTTTAGCTGTTATTTGAAGAAGAATATCATAAAATTTTGCTAGAAAACCTCAATTATTAAGTTAGTTAGTTAGATTTTAGTCAGATATCAGTTAGTTTTCAGTCATTTTCAGGGGATAAAATCAAAATCAACAGAATGTCTTGCAAAATATCGCAGATTTCGGCCTTAATAAACGATATTTATGATATTTATCGATACAAATTCCGCGCAATTTCCTTTTCATAACCAAATTTTAGGGAAAAATACGACTGATTCGGATTATTTTGGATTAATTACTCCCTTGACTGTTAATTTGTATCGATAAATGTCGTTGCGACTCATTAGAAATGTTAGGATTTCCCCTCTCCCTAATAATATCTCCCCCTTGGATCAACTGTACCATCCCTTATTGTGCTCTCAAGGGGCGGATCTTACAGCATATTTGCTACTATAATTTATCTTTGCCATTGCAAGTTCGAGCGAGCAATTTATCATGAGTAGTTTATTTTAATTGCCGTTTGTAGGAATTACTGCATCTCTCTCGCCATTCAATGGGATTCGACCGAATTATCCCTTTAATTGGGTGATCTTAAAACTTTACTGCACCATCCACGATCTTTGATTGCAATTGTAGACTTTAACTGGCAGCTTTTGTAATCGTTTCTCTCGTGTGTGTGTTGTTTTTATGCATTTGAATCGTCTTTTGTTGCAAAATTTATGCAAATTTCGTCTCGATTACTCACAAGCTTCCCTCCGGCGAATTATCACGAGTGCGAGCTTTCGAGTACATGGTTTTGGTTCTTGAAAGTTTTATTGGTATCTGCCAAGTGTATCAAGAAGTTGTTGGATTAGTTCTGGGACTCGATGAATGGGTTTGTATAGCGTGTGCTGGAAGTTATCTCTGTGCATGGCAAATTGAGAGTGCGCCTTTTGGAGAAGTGGTCGTCGCGATATAATCCGCACAGTTCAGCATCAATTTTAATTATGGCAAAAGTGAATAGCATGAAATGCATGCGAGCAAAAAATGAGAGAGCAGAAGCTGAAGTGAGTTTTGGCAAGTTTAATTGAATTCTCTGGCGATATTTGATTGCAGCTCTGCCTCGACACGATCCAATCATCACCGGCATCAGCCACAGCTACGAAGACGGTGACTTTTTGCTGGGCAATTGCACATCCGATATGTCAAGTCCACCGGCCATGCTGTCGTGGTACATCAACGATGAGAAAGTAATCACCATTTTTCCCCTCATTCGCCCCCCATCCGTCCCTGTCACACTTGTGTCAAATATTGCATTTTGATTAAAAACTTGCCACCCCCGACCAACACCCCCCCTGACAGGCGCTCTCAAGGGCGAATTTAGCAAGCCACCACCCCCTGAGATCCGTATAATTTCTCCCGCAGGCACCGCCAGAGTATCTCCAGCCACTCCGTGAGACAACCATCGAGTCAGACGGTTTTCAATTACGCTTCCGGAGCTTGGAGGTACGGTTTCATGTAGATAAGACACGGCACGCAATTTTCCGGGGCGCCATGCGACTCAAGTGTCTCGCCAGAGTTGAGCAGATCCCGGCGGCCACGCGAGAGTCGAGCGCCATTGTGTACATAACGTCACAGGATGACTTAACCAATCAAAAGTTAATTAACTATTGGACTAATTCGGGTCACCGCAAATTTACGGCGCAACTCCTCCATGTCACCCTGGCGGCGCTCGTGGGGCTCGTGTTGGCAGCGAGATAGTGTATTAAATATTAAAAAGGCCAAACACCCACGCTGCCGCGGCGGGAGGGGCGACGAGCGCCCCCAAAAGCGACTGGTAAGTCGACAAGACAAGGAGCGCGCGACGGAGGCGGAGGTCATGTATTTGTAATAAAGATTTAATGAGAAAGCGTTGGTTAGCTGATTTAATACTTACACAGACAGATTTATATTATAAAATACAGCGTACTGTGTATTAAATTTTGTAAATCTCTTCCTTAGTTCTTAATATAAGTGGCCTTATTATTTTCATGTATGCTCAAAATGATCCGCTTTCTGGGGTGCGTTTCGGAGTTCTTTTTTTCTTTCTGTTTCCTTTAAGGGAACACCCACGAAAATATCTCGCGCCTGACGACTGGAGAAAACACACCTTTAAAGGTATTACAATATTTCCGGAACCAGTACTTATCGATCGAAAGGCGAAGAGCAAAACCTAATGCAATATGCAAAGCAGAACCTTCTCAAGGAGGCAATTTTGTATTCAGTACCTTCAGTACAATATTTTAAAAGCTTTTCTTCGAAACATCTCAAAAGTCCTCTCACGAAGAGCACCGCGCACCGATGAGCGCCCCAGAAACCGCAATCACATGTCTCCAACTGAAAATGAGTGATGTATAATTGAATTTTCCCAGAAGAGAAACCGCGGAGGATGAGCGCCCGGAAAATTATAGATGAAAAAGGAAGAAACAAGATGGAAATCTATGTGGGATATATTACAAAATACCCCCAAATTGTAATATTTAATGTATAACATAACGCATATCATCGTAAAATCCTTATTAAAATGAAAAAAAATTCTCATTTCCTAAATAGATTTGAAAGAGTGGAGAGCATATAAATTAGAGATGATGAAAAATTTATAGTCATATATATTATGGGAAAAAAACACTCCACATGAATTGTTCTTTATCCGGCCGAAATGTTGAATTTAGTGAAGAAAAAAAAAAACAATTTTTGAATTACGCATTTATTGTAATAAGTATAACTAAATGTTTGCAAAACACAACTCATTCTATTTTCGTGTATAAAGGACTTTAAAGGTAATTAAAGAATATAAAAATATGAAGGAATGACGCAAAGTCAACATAGATGAACAGAGAACGTAATAAATCTATCTGTAATCCGTTGTGGTGAGGAAAGAGGGTGGAAAATTGTGACAAAAGCTGTAAATATACGAGGAAAAAAGAAAAGTGCGCACGGAATTAAGGTTCTTGTGAGGTTAAATCAAAGTGTGTAAAAGATGACATAGACTAATGGCAGATGGACAGAGAGAATATTTAGAATTTAATGTATAAAACACATACTGAATATTGATGAAAATTGACTCATTATAAATCCCCCGGAAAATTTGAGCAACACACAAAATAATCCTCATACTCGTTGTACATAGCAAAAAGTGAAAAATCAAAATTGAATTTCAAATGTAATTTAATATTGATAGTGCATACACAATTATATTGACATTAAATATTTATTAACAACAAAAATGAATTTATTAATAAAACAGAAAGTCAAAAACATACACAAATTTTGCACTAATTACATGATAAAACATTTACATAGTTGTATAAACGGGGACTGAAGGATCCGGACGTTAGGCAGACCCAAATCAAAAGAATCCCACTCAGTTTGAGGGGGTGTTTTTGCAAGTAAAAGCATCCCTCGTGGCGTGAAAGATGACGAGGTGGATATTCAGTCAATAAATTATTCAGAGAAAACATGGAAAATTAAACTCACACAAAACACACACCAAAAGAGAGTAAAATATAAGTATATTAAGGGGTAAAAAAGAAGTGGAGACACATGACTAGTTAAATTAACAATGAATGTACTAATGTATAATCTTAAAAAGGAATGGAAAAAAAAATCTATGAAGAATTATCTCCCATGAAAAGGAAGACAACAACTAATAGAATTGATATTTTTATGTTAAACCCATTGAACCTTTAAATAAATCATTTTAAAAAATCTCACCGTCTTGCAATCACACTTTTGGCGTCACGAACAAAACGAGGGTTGAAGTCAATTGAGGAAAATATTGGAATTATCAATCATTTGTCAGTAAATCAAATGCTACAATTTGTTTCCCATTTTCTCTCCCATTAACTTCGTCTCGCTCCCTTTCTCTCTCCCTCTCTTTCTAGACCGTTCAACGTCAGATTCACTTAGCCAGCGAAGATGGGCTGAGAAGGGGAAGAAAATTTTTACTACAAATATCGTAAATACGGGAAAAAGCGTGAGTTTTGAAATAAATCATGACAGCGCAGGAATTGTTTTTTCTCACTCTGTCTCTAAACTCTAAATCAACAGCTGTTTTTGCGCTTATTCCAACTATTCGGAAAAACACACACAGAACAACCCATTTTCGAGGCACAGTTTCCACCGTCATTCACATATATATTATCATATCGCACACACATTATTTTGAACCTGAGGTTGCGGCGCGTGAAACAAAAGGGCGAGCAGCGATATCAAGGGTATCGAGAGTGTGAGATATTTATGAAAATGTGTCACAATATCATAAAATTCAATGATGCTTCTGGTCACACTCAATTTGTTTTATTATAAAATTATACCTCTTGGGGACTGTGTCTTCCCAACCCTCCCGGAAAGCTCTGCCGCCGCCGCCCTCCATTGAGTCACCCCAGCGTTGGGCGTCTGAATTGAATAACGCATAATTCAAATTTTCATCTATACCGTGCGCCGGGGAGGACAATAGAAGGGTGGCGCGAGGGATGGGGAGGAGAGTGGAAGAGTATTAATGCCGGGCGAAGAGAAAGTCGCAGTGCAGTTTATCATCCGGAATGTGGCCCCCGATGGCGTTCCATTGAGCGAAGTTGCAGGGGTGCACAGTTGGGGGTTCGCAACTTCGTCCGACGTCTCTGTTTCAGCAATTTCCGCCCCTTCAGCCACACGCGATCGCTCGCCGCGAAGGAAGGGCGCGATATTCTGGAATTTCACTTGTGCAGCACGACTTTGGGCGAGTGAGAATCTGCGACTAACTGGTAATTGATATCCAGATGTCTTCACTTCGTCGCTCTCGCGCTGAGAGCACTTATAAGTCAAGGGGGAGATGTTATATCCGGAGTCTGTACACAACTTCCTGACACGTTAAAGTTCATGTTTAATAAGTAAAACTTACAATCAATCTCTCAAGTTTTCATCTGAAATTCCTAGAAAAATCCACTCAAAACTATTATTTTTGCCATTTTTCCAAACCTAATCCTTAACTTACTGAAAAGGAAACATTTTAATGCATACAAATTCTTGATTGTGCAAATAACAAGAAATCTTCCTCACTTAAGAATAAATTTCTAAATTTCCGTTCGTATTATCTCCCCCTTGTCAAGCCCTTTTGGCAGCACGCAAAGGGGAAAATGACAAAACAGTTGTTAAGCTGTACTTCAGCAGAAAGTGATTTCTTAATAGTGCTCAAACTGTGCAATTATTTCCGTTTTCTTCAAAGGTGCGCACACATAAAGAACGCATGCTTTTCCCAGCACTCTATTAGACGAAAATATACAAAATGTTTCCATGGAATTTAATACAATAAGCACACTTCTGAAGGTAACTTTGGCTTGGGGAATTTCAAGTGAAATTTCTCAAGTCACGGCTTTTAACAAATCATCCAAAAAGGAAAAAAATGAGACGCAGAGAGAGAGAAATAAGAGAAATATTACTACCATTCGCCCCAGCAAATAACTTTAATAAGATTTTCTCCTGCGAAAATCATCTCGATTGCTGGCTTACCGACTCAATATACAAATATATATGTATCTCTGCTCAAGTGCAGAGCCCAGAAAAAATATAATCATCATGGGATGGAGAATCCTTGGACGAGGACATCTGAGCGTCGGGAAGACGAAATAGGAGGAAAATCAATTTGGGAGAGAGAAGTTCAATTGTTGATATGTGGGAAGAGTCTTTACTTTGGCCTTTCCGGCAAGCTGAGAATCAATTTCGAGCAGGACTTAGGGAGAGACAAGACAGAACAATAACACTATAAACAGATGCAATCGAGTGAAACCAAAACAAGAGGCTAAACATGGGAACTTCATTCCAAAAGTCCTCCGCCCGCTCTCAACCCAGCCCAGAGATCTTCGATTGTCCTCTCCAGGGAAGGTTGCGAGAGAGCACTTGGATTTCATGACAATTGCCTCTCCAGGTTTGAAGGGGCGGCAAAGACAATCAATGGATTTATTTTCAATTTTTCCCGTCTTATGATACATTCCACACATTCTGCATGAGCTTCTGCGCCACTTTGTGAGTTGCTAGACTGAAATCTCACGGCTTCATTTTCGTATGTAAAGATATTTTTCTACTTTTCTGCGGATGCCGTGGAAAAGGTGGAATAATTCTGAAAATTTTATTAGAGAGCTTCAGCTCAAGGGACTGACAATATGCCTTAAGATCTGTACACCCACTTTTACCACAAAGATATTTTATCTGTCAAGATAAAAGGAAAATATTTCCAGCTTTTAGAAGAAGAAAAACATCAAAGAGCTCAAAGTTTTGCGTGAAATGTGTGAAAAAGGAGCTGTACACCACTTTCAACCACAATATCACCCTGGCTTCACCCTGAATCGTGCCTGAATCTCACGCTGTGAGTAAATTTGGTGGATACACAGAGAGACAATGAAGGCAAGGAAACTAAAGACGAGCATAACTTTAAAAAACACATTCCTCAAATATTCAGCTGGATTTGAATTTTCCCTATGATATCCTCGCCACTCCATCTCTACAGAAGGCACAATGTACATATTTCTTTATTTATTTATCTCCTCAAGCTCTCCTTCTCTTGTCCCGCTCCTTGGGAGCGTCGTGGGGGTGTCGGTGGGAAGGGGCATGGGAATATGTTTGTACATGTCTTTTTCTTCTTGAGGACGCTTTCCCAGTGTCTCACATTCCGGGAGTGGAGTCGATGCTGTGGGAAGGTTGCATGTGTAATAGAGAAAATCATATACATATCTCCTGTCCCACCC